GGGGGGGGGGGGGGGGGGGGGGGGGGGGGCTTGGTTGTCCGCTTGAGAGGGTGGCCCTCTCTCCTGGGACTTACGTATTTCCAGCCCAGTGTGGTTTTGCAGCTCTCGCAGAAAATATCAGCTACCGAGTGGAGCCCCGTGAGCAGGAGGCGCTGTTCGGCTGGTCCACAGCCCACGTTGACCCTGTCTCAGGAAAGAGGAAGGACCCGGCACCAGTGGAGTTGTTCCATCAGTTCAGCCCCCAAACAGCCCAAAGGAACTGCCATCTGGAGAGGGCTGAGCCCTGCCCAACTGGAAGGCCTGCCGGCAGCAATCCACCCGTTCATGACTAGTGCCCGGGCCTTCCCTCTCCAGTTCTGCCCACATGCTCCACGGGAGAACTGCACACTGGGTCTCTGGCCCCCTTTGCCAAAGCAGGAGGCGCCAGGCCACCTGCGGATGGCTCACCTCCCTTTCCCACACTGGAAAGTCATTCAGACACGCGCACACACACATACACGCAAAGAGAGAGGTAGACTCACACGGAGTTAAACAGGTAGGCTCGGCCATGGCTCCCTTGGAAAGACTGTGGAGACATAGGACAGACGGTGACTGCCGGGATGCCCTGGGCCCCACTGCCTGGGTCCCCCAGGGGCAAGGAAGAGGGCGGGTGGGCATTGTTGCCTCTCCGCCAGGTGAGTTTGGACAATCCTGGTGGGAGCCGGCAGGGCCGAGCGGCGGGCCCCCCCTGCTTGGCGTACCTTGGAAATAAGCTCATCGTGTTTGGCCAGGTGCGCACGGCAGTGGACGCAGCTGTAGGTGCGGTGGCAACGAGGCAGGTAGCTGCGGAACGTCTTGGCGGGGAGGCAGGCAGGGCCCGGGCCCGGGTCGCAGCTGGGCATGACGGGCTGGAGGACGATGCCCTGGCGGGCTGGAGGGGCTGGCGCCGTGCAGCCCCCACACAGTCGGTCGCAGGTGAAGCAGCGAAGCAGGTTGGCTAGAGCCGTGTTTCGGGGCAGGAGAAATGTGGGGGGGCTGCCCGGCCAGGGCCCCCCCAGACGTGAACCAGATAGAAATGGAAGTCACCTGGGAAGAGGGGAGAGTGCATCAGGAGAGCCCCTCCCGAGGGAACGAGGGAACGGGGAAGATGGGCTCAGCCCTCCCCTGCCCCTACTTCCCCCATCACGATCGTTCCCCCGCGCCCCCCCTCCCCCCCCCCCCCCTGCAGCATCCAGTCGCACTCTCTCCCCGGTCCCTGGATTCCCGCCTGCTCTGGCAGCTGTTCCAGGCCTCCGGTGCCACAGCCGGGGAGGTGGTGTCTTTCCCTCCTGGGGCGGGAGCAGCCTCCACCATTTTCCACTGAGAGCAGCCTGCTGGTGCAAATGCTGCCATGGGAGCAACGTCATCTGCGAGTTGCTCTCGCCTGGGTTTTGGCTCTTTGGTGAGGGTCTGCGTCCTACGTGTGCCGGAAGGCTCAGGTTCAGAGCCTCTTGCAAGTTGGGGAAGCCTGGCGGTTTTTCTTTTCTGTGGCCTCCATTTGCAACGCAATTGGTCCTTCGTAGGTGTCGCGTGGGAGAGAGGCCAGCAGGCGGGCAAGTACACACGCCCTGCTCGGCCCTTTCCTGGGCCTGGGGTCCTGCACTCCCGGAACTAGAACTTCATGGCTGTCTCCGTTGGTACTGACAACCTCAGATGTGGCTCTTCGCCCGGTCCCGCGCTTTGGTCCTCTCATTCCAGCTTTTCTCAGCTTCTGAGCCCCTTGGTCCGTCTGTACTGCTCTAACTGTTGCCTTAGCCTCAGTTAAAGACGTGGACATTCAGCCCGTGGAGAGACAGACCTGACAGCCGGAAGCCATGGGAAGTGGGGATCACTTCGGGGAGGGTGGCACTCCTGGGCTAGGTGATGTGCAGTGGGAGCAGAAGTGGGAGATTCTTATTTTCAAAACCTATGCTCTGGGGTATAAGGCAGAGAACGTTTCCACCTTTTCCCAGGGCCAGGGACGAACAGCAGTGACTCTTGTGGGTGACAGCAGATAAAATAATTGCTGGTTTCTGGTTAGGAATGGTGAGAAAGATATTGGTATCTGTCCAGACTCCAGTCCCAAAGTGACTGAGGGTACAAGAGGCAGAGGATAAGAAGGGAGGTGTCCTCTGTTGCCTCTGATAAGGCGTCTCCTTCATGGGGCTTTCAGGCCTGTTGTGGGTGATTTAGCTCAAGTCCAGTTCAGAGGTGCCAGCTCGGTGCTCTGGCAAGGCAAGGCCACTAAGCAGAGCAGGGACAGTGTGGCTGCGAGTAGTCAGGGCAAAGAGGCTCTCATCATGTCCTCTGTGGTGGCCACTGGTGCCCCAGCCATTTTAGTGTTTCCTGGGGCCGCCAGGCAGCAGTCTCTCCACAGAACCCCCAACAGAGCCCATCTTCAGTTTGAGGTCCTTTCCCTGTGGCTGGGCCCCAGAAAGACACCTTGAGCTGAGTTCAGGGTGACATTGGGCTCTGGCCGCAGGAGTCTGGGCCCTCCTCACCAGCGTCCACTTCCCAGGTCTGCCTTCAAACTTTGCCTGAGTTCCCCTCTGCTGCTCTCCACCTAAGTGCACCTGTGAAGGGGCTGGCTGGGTCCCTGCTCTCTAGCTCCTGCTCCAGCCTATGTCACGCCTCCCTCCCTCTCTCTCCCCTGCTTCCCCATCAGGCCAAAGAGAGGCTGCACAG